GATGTAGTAGTAGTAGTAATGGTGGTCATTGACCTGGGATTCGATCAAATGTTCCACACTTCCACTAGATGAAGAAAACAACATCCACAACCAGAGCAGAGTTTAGCCACTTGTCATTGTCATCTTCCTGCGTGGCCAAAAGAGTTGAATATTAAGAATTAAGAAAGCTGTGTTGCTCATATTGAAACTTTTGGATTATGTTTTAACTTTCACTTGAGCAGACATTTAATTTACAGGTATCCCTTTCAGATAATGAGCTTCTCCTATCTGTCATATTAATTTTGATCAGATCAGACCACAGGTGGCATATCCCGCCTATTCAGATTCTTCTTTTAATTTCTTTATTTTTTTATATAACTAGCCTTAGGGTTTATCCTTAGAATTTGGATGGCAGAAATGCTAGAACCACAATAGAAGAGGTCCCCCATTTGAGGATGTTCTAAGGGTTAATTAATTGATTGACGTTCTCTATTATTGAGGGGTGTTCTATGTAGAAGTCAAGATGGGTGAGCTGCCCATCTAGAAAGCAACAAGTAGGTTCTAGTTAGGGTGTGAAATGGGTACATGAAGGTCAGTGGTATACTGGTATGTATAGTCTTCCAGCATAAATAATGGGCACCTCATATGTTTTTATGTACTGGTGCAATTAAACAATAGTAAAATTATTCAAATAACTCCCTTCATTTTATTGATAATTAGTGTAAGAGCACGTGTTATTTACCTGTATAAGATTAGAGGATAAAAAAACATATAATTCTATATGTATTTCAATACTTAATTTTATAATCTACACAGAAATCAAAGCAAATATCTAATTTATATAATAATAGATAGATGTCTAAAACTTTTGTTTTTTGGACTTTTAGATACCCTCTATCAAAATTACTATTCAAACATGTGTATTTTTAATATACCCAAAATACTCATGAAGATGGTTGTTCTATAAATAAATAAGGTGCCACTTATGTATATATGAGGGACCCATTGAAGTGACGAATTGTTGAGCATTAGGACAATTGTTATGCATCAAATGGAAGGCCATGATTAATATTTATATTTTTGCAACTATTAAGACAGTCTGGAACCTTTGAAATGGTAGGTGAGATGCGGTTTGGGTTGGTTTCTCCTGACCTGTCGAGCAAGAGGGCTAGATCAGAGAAGATACCTGTTTAGGGAGCTGATTCTCCCTCCTCTAATGGTGGTCCGAGAGTGGAGTTGGGAGGTTAAAAGCTGGTTAGGGTTTCCCAAAGCTAGCACTGGTTAAGAACTTCAAGAAGAAAATGATTAAGTATATGTTTGGTTCCATTTATGTTTATTGAGTAAATATTTATTGACAGTGCTACATAGGCGCCTCATCAGCAAACGCCTCATTAATTGCATTTGTGTGTATCAAAGTTTGCAAAAGCAAACTTCGGTTTCTGTGTACCTCTCTCGTTTCAGGAAACTTCATTTTGGAGCTTCCTGAAATGGGTAGGCGTTTATTGATATTTTGCTGATGTGGTGCCTAATGGCACCTATGTGTCATAAACGCCCTCATTAAATGTCTTTCTTCATTTTACAATCACATAAGTACAAAATATTTACTGAATAAACGTAAACGAAACCAAACACCCTGTAAAACTGAGAATATATTGGGATGTTTTGATGTTTAAAAAGCGCTTGTTTATCATGGAGCCATTTTGGATTGTAGATCATAGACCTTTCTAAAATTCTTCTTTCTTTCTTTTTCTTTTTTGTTATTTTCTTGTGAATATATTTAAATATCTTTTTTATTAAAATCGCGACATATATATCCAAGTCTTGCACGGGGTTTTGAGATTGATGTTTCGAGTTTGGATCTACTCCTCACAAATTCCTCCTCACACCAACCTCACAGCATGTATCAGTTGTACATCAAGAACATCCCCTTTATTCATTGGAGATGTTCTCAATACATGGTGGGATGTGGCTGTGAGGTCATTATGAAGAGCAGATGCCAATTCTGATGTTTCATAGGTCCAACCTCCTCATTTGCATACCTACTGATGTTGGTGGGTAGTGTTGTGCATGTATATACTCTTACAATTAGATAACTTAGGGGATGTTTGGAACCATGGCCGTTTTTTAAAAAATGGTGCCACATCGGGTCCACATAGGCGTTTCAACAAACGTTCATGTATCTCATTATTTGGTTCAGCCGATTATTAAAAAATCAGTCATAGGCGTTTTTCAAAATTCGGCATTTCATGCATCGGTGAACTGTTTCCCCCAATGGTTGACTAATGTGTATCCTATGTGGTGCTTACCTATCAGCACATACATAAAAAATGGTGATGAAAATTACCTTACCAAACAGCATAGTGTTGCTCACTGCCTACGTGGCAGAAGCGTTTTTTTGTGAAAAACGGATCTTGGAAGCATGGGCGTTTTTTCTTGAAAATCGGTCCAAAAAAGCGCCCACACTTCCAAACACCATGTTAGTTTAATATTTGGATTTACACAAACCAATAGACAACTAAATCAATATTGCTTCCTTATTCTTATAATATATGAAGTGAATAAATTAATAAAAAATAAATTAAACAAAATTAGTTGTAATTTGTAAAGCAGTATTTTTTTTTTTGAGAGAGAGAACATGCTAGGGATTTTTTTTGTTGTTGTTGCATTAAAAATAGATAAGATGACATAAAGGAGATCGGATTCAGTCAATGCAAGTCAGTGCTCACACCATTCGAACAGCCTCTCCCAACCTTGCATTGGGAATATCTCCCCGTGAAATAAAGCATATAAGTATGGAGATATTTCCAATGCAAGGCTGTGAAGGGTGCTCGAATGAGTCTTGCACTGACTGAAACTGAACTTGACATAAAGTGTCTCAGGGTTATTTTTGTTAGGATCATTTACTCAGATTTACTTATACTTACATTGTAGTTTTTATTTTACTAAAGCACCCTCTATAATTTGCAACCTATTAACTTAATTGACCTTTCACTAAGAGGCATTTGTTTGCCATCTAAAAATGATAATATGATCACCTAAACTAAGTGAAAAATGTCTAAGGGCATGGGCCCATTATTATTTATTCCAAAATTAAGTATAACATTTTTTCATATAGAAAACAAATTGACAAAATAGAGTGGTTACTAGTGTCTTATTAGGGGAAAATAGTATTTTTATTTATATTTTCTTTTAATTAAATTTATTCAAATGAATGTTAAGTCAAAACTGTCATGTTCCATAATCATCTAATGGAAGGTTGGTTGAGTAGATCGATTGAAAACTAAATGGGCTGTTTTAATAAAACACAAACTATAGGATATGTTTTAATAAATTCATAAAACTATAGGCCGTGTTTTAGTAAATGGCCCTCTTTGTTACTTTTCACAAGACGATGAGGCAATGCAACGTAAGGGAAGTATATGGTTTACAAAACCTTGAGACCAGGGATTCCTTGAAATACCTAAAAATCAGGGTAAGTTTTAGGCATTGTCAATAAAGTGAGGGGAGGTTTTAGATAATTTCCTAAACAATACTGTTGCCTCTTCAACTTCAAGATCTTCGCTTTTCACTCACAATCGACCCTATAGAGCTTTCCCGTTTTCACCAGTGCTCATTGCAAAACCTGCACTTAACCTTACGTGATGAATGGAGGCCCACAGGTTCCTCTTCAAGGTACAGGTGTTTCCAATGTTAAAATCGGACCGGACTAGTTTCTGGGTTGAACAGCCCAACCATCTGGTTAAAATGGACAGTCTGTTCTAATAAAAAATAATAAAATAAAAAATGACCAAAAATCATTTTTCAGGTTGACTATTCGACCACCCAGATCAGTGATTCATTGACTAAGTTGACAGTTTTTGACCAATAAAACAGTTTTGGCTGAAATGGGTGACCAGTTCCTGGTTTTTTTGGTCCAACTGTCCGGTCCAGTCCGATTTTAAAAACCATGGTGAGGCAAATCAAGATTTATTCATCACATAGCACACCTCACACCGAGCTCACAACCTCATCCCACCATATATTGGGAACATCTCCCCATGAAAAACAACATAAAGTACGGGAGATGTTACTGATGTGTAGCTGGGAAGTGTTGTGAGGTTGGTGTGAGTTGCATCTGTATAGAGCAGATCCGGACTGCTATGAGGTTGGTATGAGTATGGTTTTAAAAAACGATTCAGAAATGGAATTGTTCTGACCATCGGTTTTTGGGTCAACAGCTCGACCATCTAGTTCAAACAGACAGCCCATTCTAACAAAATAATTAAAAATAAAAAACAGCCAAAACAGTTGAATGGATCAACCGATCAACCGACCATTGACTGATTCAATGGTTTTTAATCAGGGACCAAATTTGGAGTAAAATAGAACCAGTTGCCTGGACGGTTGTTCCCAGGCCAAATGATCCAACCGTCCGGATCAACGGCTGTTCAAAAACCATGGGTATTAGGAACGCTCTTTGAAATGCAAACCCAGATTCACCTTGGGCGCCAATAAAGTTGAATGGGATTGCCTCATAATGTTCGTTACGGCATTGCTAAATTATAAACTAATGGAACCAGAATATGAATTGCAGTCGAAGTTGTAGATGAGCAAAATTTCCTGATCCTACAAACAGCCATTCGATGGTATTGTATCATTTGAGAAGAGGTAGAAGAATTCTGGTAAACAACAGGTCTCTAGTTTTCTTCATTCTGCACACATGGTGATGGCGAGGAATCATAACACCACACGACACTACGAGACATAAAGGACTAAAACAGTTGCGTAATCAGTTTATCCAATCCAACCCATTAATTATATTAGAAGTCTGGGCCCAAGCCCAAAGCCCAATCTGAACATAAAAAGTGCTATCAATTCGGGATTCGGGAATTAATCACTGTACTTGAAGTGATCTCTATAAAATGCAGTCATGACAAACACCCCTCTGAGGGCTGTTTGGTTGGTGGATTTTTGAGTTTTCAAGATTCAAGTGGTGAGATGTGGATTGTGGACCAAAAAAGAATTGATGGATAGAAAAGGGAAGGTCCTACCGGGAGTCGAACCCAGGTCGCTGGATTCAAAGTCCAGAGTGCTAACCACTACACCATAGAACCGATTGTTGTGAAACATCAACACCAAACAATTTTATGTGAAATCAGGATGAACTTCATCTTCAACCCTTTCGCCATTGAACTCGTTCTCCAAACCAGCATGGCTCCATGGATTCAGATCAACTAGGGGCTCCCTCTCCCGTCCGAATAAAATCCCATTGTCACTCTCTTCTTCTGTTAAGTAACAGCTCCATTTGGATTCTCTTCCTGTTGCCAGTTGCCTTTTCCCTTTCTCGTCCTCGTCGTCTGTCAAAATTTTACTGTAAATGAACATGAGAGAGAGAGCACGCGCAAAAATAAGAAAGATTTCAAAAGCACCTCGATGAGGGAATTTGGGCTTTGTGTTTGTATTTGAAAAAACAGGCTTCAGAGGTTTGCTTCCTTGAATAGTATGAAATTCACCAGGGTAAGTCTTCTTCAGTTTTGGTTTCTTCAAGTGCTCTTCTGGGAGTTCCGTCACAATCTTCGGTTCAAAAGCATTCCCTGTACAGAACCGGGAAAAAAAAGACGAAGAACAAAATTAAGAAATACCTAAAACGTTTAGAAGCAAGACACCTGAAATTACGAATTAGGTATAGGACTTTGGTCGGGAATCACATTACGAAGAACTAACCATCTAGTTCTTCTTTGGCATCAGCATCGTCCTCGGTGTCCAAGTACTCGGTCCAATCGTTTCTTCTCTTTCGGCTGCAGCTGCTATTGCTCGAATTAGGGTCGTCGATCTCCTCCAATGTCTGAATTAGGCTTTCGTCTCTGTTTTCGATAAATTGGCGAGACATGTTGAACCCTTGGACGAATTTGCGGATGTCCTTGGCAGCGTATCCCCGAGCAAAGACCTTCCATACGGACTGCTTCTGGTTGCAGATCACGCAGTTCCATTTGTTGCTGCTCTTCTTCTGCTGCTTCACCTGTTCCCGCAGTAAACAAAGAATGAAAGCGTTCGTTAAGACCAGAACGATGGAGAGATAGAGAAAGATACAGAGATGGGAGGGGAGAGAGAGGGATTTGCCTGCATAGTTGAGCACTGACAACACTGGACGGCAATGAAGATCGTCGACATTGCTGAGCGTGGTAGCAAGATTCCTGAGTTGGGCCTCTTCGAATTCGAAGTTAAACCCGATTTAAAACAGAAGAGATGAAGAGGAACTGAGGAAGCCGGGAAGGCGAATTCAGGGTCTAAGATTAGTTTGGCTTTTCGCTGTATTTGAATTTTTGGCGGCAAGTAGGCTTGGCGTTTAGAACCAGAGGCCATTGGATCAGTGCTTTTGATAAACCTACAATTTAAATTACAGATTAATACGAAATTACCCCCTCTGACCTTTTATTTGCGACAAAGACCTTCTAAAATTTCAGATTTCAATAAATACCTCCTCATGATGTTTATATTTTAATTTAATTGATTGAAACTTGAAAGTGCCCCTCGCCCAAGAAATTTGTGCTCATTTGAAGGTCTGATATTTCATATTTATTATTCATTGTTTTGGATTTTACCTCTTTTATTATATCCTTAAGACTAATGCCAAATGATTCTTTGATCTTGCAATTAAGTTGTATTATTGAATCATATGATTGTATTTTCATTGTAATCAAAATTATCAAAATGAAATCCAGTCATGTATCCTAGTAAATTTTCTTAGCAAGCAAACACTTGAAAATAAATTTTCTAGAATAATTTATCTCAGCAACTAAATTTAGGATGCCAAAATTTTATTTCCCACCCCTTCTTTCTCGGAAACCAAATGGACCACAAGCTCGATATGACTTTTCTGTTGAGCTATAGCTGGTTCGACAGGTTTGAAACACTCCATATAAAGCTACTTAAAGTGGTTGAAGCCGACAACCCTAAAAAATGGCTAACAAACAGTTGATTTGGGCTCTCTAGATTTTTCACCAAACATATCTTATATGATGTCCATGTGAGACCCACCTCACTAAGAGTGTCAATGGACCAGTTTTGGGTTGGACTCTATTCAAATCAAAATCAAATTCGACCGATTGGATGGACCAACAAGGCATGTTGAATCGGATCAGCGCAAACTTAATGGTCCAAAGTGTTTATTAGATTGGATTGGACCTGGTCCATCCCCAATGAAATTATATTGGATTGAGCCAATATGTGGTCCATTGATAGAAAATAAAAATATACGTGTTAATGGAGAAGATTCGGGTTAGAATCAATCTAAATTAAAACAAATTTGAACAGATTGGAAGATTCAGATATTAAATTGGACCGATCCAAAATATTCATTGGATTGGATTGGACATGGTCCATTTATGATGGACTGCACTGGATAGGATTGGACCAAATCCAATCCAATTGACACCCCTAGACATCAGGAAGCTATAAAGTTGTAACAATTCAGTCCTCTCAAATGGACACTTAAGGGCTTCTCCAAAGCACTTTGACCAGCATTTTAGCACACCTACCATTTGGGAGGGCTGAAGCTTTGATTGAGTTGTGTTGAGATAACTTTATAAAAAAGTCAATTTCTTAGCTTTGTTAAAGTGTACTAGGCTTTTTTTTGTGTTTTCACCAAACATAGCTTCGAGGCTCTCTATGTAGGGCCCAACTTGTAAAGCCATAAGCCATTGCATGAAATCCCTCAAAATGAGCACTAAAACTGAGTAATTTATTTTGTACATCCCTCACATTTTTTAACAAATATTTAAACTTCCCTTGAATTTTGAACTCTCAAAAAACCTCCTTTAAACTTCTGCGAGTGTGTCTCGCCTTTTCTCTCTTTTCTTCATAGCCTTCTTCCGCAAGTGTTTTTCTCATCGCTCTTCTCTCTTTCCTGATAACCCAACCCTTTTCTTGCTATAATCACCTTCTTTTCCCCTTCATGTCGTAACCTTTTTCCATGCCCTCCCAAACCGAAATCTTCCCCCTAGCAATATTATAGCAAGAAATTGACTTGCTATAATCAAGCTTACACAACTTCTTGCTATAATCACCTTCTTGTTAAACCCATTCTACAATGGCTAATGCAACCAAGTTGTGTAAGCTTGGTTTGTTCGCTCGTGTGCTGGCGAATCGTCCCTTGAATGTAGTAGGGGTTGTAGAGTGCATTAGAAATTTGTGGAATGCTCCAAAAGGTTATGAAGTAAACCCCATTGGAAGAAACATTTTTGGATAGCCTTCAATAGAGAATTAGATCTTGAAAATTTCCTAGAGAAAGGATCCTGGCTAATCAAAGACTACCCGCTCCTTATTCAGAAATGGTCCCCAAGAGTAAACCCAAAGAAAGCTGGTGATAGATACATGGGAAATCTGGATAAGGGTGCTAAACTTTCCAATGGAAGGAATGACATCAGAAAATGCTCTCACTACAAAACTGCCGCTAAAAGTCTCTAAAACTGCCGGTAAAACCTTTACCGGCAGTCACCAAATTGCCCCTAAAAAATGTGTCGGAAAAAGTTATAGCGGCAGTTTTGCTAGCTGCCGGTAAAAGTCAAAAACTTCCGCTAGAAACAGGCTTTTAGTGGCAGTTAGAAAACTGCATTGCTGCTAAATGAGTTTACCGATTGCCGCTATAGTTTGGTGCATATGTTTTTTAGTGGCAGTCAATTTACCTTTAGCGGCAGTAGCGACTGCCGCTATAGAGCCTACCCTAAACAATTGCAAATAATATTTTAATTTACTTTTTCACCAGCTAAAATAACCTGAAATTTTTTCCAAAATCCAAATAACATGAAATTGCTTTTAATTATTAAATAAAGTTATAATTTGTTTCAAATAAACTATTTTCCCTTCATTTATGCAAATTAAAATTTAATACAAAAGGTCAAAACATCAATTACAAATAAAATATAAATGTACATTCACCATTCAAAATATTTTAGCCACAAACACATTTCAAATTGATAAACCCCTTGATACAAATTTCATCATCCATGTTTTTGAAAGACCACCCCTGCTTCTACCTGAGGTGATGTAGACACGAAAGTTGCATATGCAAACAAATCAACATCTTCTATGTTACTGCTATTAACAGTATTTGTTTTTGTTTCTGTTGGAATAGAAGTTGGTGCATTTGTGAGGTCGATTAAACTTTCACCAAACAAATCCACCTTCTTAACACTTGCAGCAACTAACCCTATCACATGAAACAATTAAGTGCCTCATAACACCAAAATTATGTATATCATAAAAAACATATGTATATGGAACCATGAATTTTGCAAATGTGTACACAAAACTTGCCAATAACCTGACTTGCTTGTTTATATACTAATGGTGCGCAATCCGGCCGGTCTTAGCTGTCAACGACCTTGCCTCTGAACTGAGTAGCAGGGAACCTGAAACGGAGAAGATGAGGAAGCTCCGGGGGGAACCCGGTGTAAAGGCTCCGAAGCTCAAGTTAGAATCCTTCAAAGGCAAGATAAAACCAGATAGTGCAAAGTTTGCATACCATGTTCTTGGGGGGTAGAGAGCCTTTTATAACCACCTCGCGCACTCACTCCTATGCTTCTGTTAGGTCGGGTATGATTACTTACGTGCTTCTACCAGTTCGGGTGTCATCACCTCTGCTGGGGCAGAACCGCCACTACTCTTTTTGTCGGAGCCGTCTTTGTAACTGGAGGTGACGGTGGCAGGTGGCCATTGAAGTGCGGCTGTCAAGCATCAGATCCCAAGTCAGTCAGGTGCGCCGCTCCTGGATACGGACTCCTTCGGTGTCAAGTACGGTGTGGTTTGTCTAGTTCAGTGTTCTGGAGGCGAAGTGCTGGAGCGGTGTGCGAGGCAAAGTCTTGAGTTCGGATAGGGGAGTGACCCGAACTGCCATGAGGCGGGCCAGTTCGGGTCACTGCTTTGTGTGGCTCGGGGTCAAAGGGAGAGTTCGGGCTCCTCGTAGGGAGTTCGATCTCTTAGTAGGGAGTTCGAGCTCTTAGTAGGGAGGTCGGGCTCCTCGTAGGGAGTTCAAGCTCCTCGAAGGGAGTTCGGTCTCCTCGAGGGGAGTTTGGACTGCTGGTTTCTTCCCTTTGGTGTTTGCACCCTGGGTACGTTGCTTTAAGTGCCGAGCTACTTGTTTTTTGCCACGTGGCGTGATTGCGAGGTAGGGCCAAATCTTCCTTCATCATATACAAATTGACTTGACATACAAATAACATAGGTAAGCTTTTTAAAGGAGAACCTGAATGACAGAGACATTCATAGCAAACCAACCCCTGTGTATACAACAAACATTTTAATACGCTATTTACATTAACTCAATAATAATTGCAAACTGAGGGGAAATGAAAAAGAGAAAACAGCTTGAAGCCAAAACTCATTACAAAAACTAGCACTTACCCATTATCAACAATATACATAGTACCGAATTTTATAGGAAACCTAAATTCTAAAGTCCTAGAAGGCAATAACTAGATATAGATACATATCAGTTCAACCTTTGTCGTCTAGTTGCATGGAACATTCCAATATCCCCATATGATGCCCTTGGAACACTATAAAGCCACATTACTCCAACCTAACCCCAACCCCAACCAATTCCCTTTATCCTTGAGAAACCCCAATTAGCATAGACTGCAATCAAAGTTGCCACTTGACAATAACCATCTAATTAACAACAGGGTGGAGCAAATAATATTTTTCTTTTTCTTTTCTTACTTTCCTTCTATTTGGTGTAAAATGAAAATCAAAATCCACACATCAAAAAATAAGCATTGAACCCATTCAAAGGTGAAACAAATCAGAGAGATGAGTAGCAAAATAACCAACTTCAAGATAATTAAATGGTTGGAGTTGGACCGAACAATTGAACCACTTTAGTCCTTTGAATGAGCAACATGTGGCAAATTATAGGGCTCCAAAATACATCTACACTGAAAGTCAAACTTAACCTAACATTTTGTCCCTTTATTGGGTATTGGTTAGTCCTTGTGAAGGAATTAGAAAATAATATTAATAAAAAAGTACAGTTTTATAGTTATGGGGTTGGATTCAGCCAACTTAGTCCATGAACCAATTAAGAAATCAATAAAGCTTAACCAACCGTGGGTGCTCTATTGCATGTAATGTGGTGGAGAGGGGTAAATTTATTGGTCTGTGGAAAAAAAGAAAGACAAAATAAATAACACACATTCTTACCAGTTGAGCAATTATGAAGGCACTCACTAGGAGCAATACAGGACATTCAACATATGACCAGCTGCGTGACCGAATGACAAAAATAAGGGCCTGGCTAATGATACTCACTTGCAAGT